TCACACTTCTTGCTTGTGGAACTCATTTCCAGCTCCATGCTTTCATAAAATTAAATAATTGTATGTGTGAGGTACATGAGTAACAGATGTAAAAAAGGAAAACATTTTTAAAATAATTTCCATCATTTCTGAATAATTTCTGTTACTTTCAGAGAAATCCAACAATTATTTGATTTTAGCAAGAATTTCAAAATCAATGTATTTTCACTGCAAAAAGACACTCAAATTTCCTATACTAATTTATGGTCACCTGCTGATGCAAAAAAAGAAAATTAACCAAAATTTTCAAGGTCTTAAAAAGGATTAAAAATATAATTTAATAATCATAAAATCCTTGATTTTTTTCTCTTAATAATAACATAAAAAGTTAGATGTATGTAAAAGTTCTTCACCTGGCAAAGAAGGGCAAATCAAAATGCTGGTCATTTGGTCAAATTTTAGAGGTCAATTGGGCCGACAACCTTTTCAACACTACTCCTTTGAATTCCCCATTGTTATCAGCAAATATGATGCCTATACACTAAAAGAAGAACAGCAACTGACAAGTGAACTCCTTTTCAGTGTTTCTTTTATCTTCCTTGAATATCAGAATCTCATTTGCCATAAAACTATAATGGCTGAAAGTGAATTTGAAAGCCACCAGATCAGTAATTGATTAAATTTTCCATATCTTCCAGTAACAAAATCTACATTTGTAGAGTCACTAATCTTCTATATCCATTTGTGTGCATAGAAGGGTGTGCTGAAAAGTGTTGGTTGAGAACTTTTTAGCAATTCCTCATACATATATATATATATATATATATATATATATATATATATATATAACAATGGACTCTCCTGTCGGTTTCGACGTATGAGGATCTGACAGCTTATTGATTCAGTTATGAAAGTTTGTGTGATAATCTTAAGTGGCATTTAAGACCCGCTAGTGATTTACAAAGGAGGCTACATATGGAGCAAGTGTGAGGATTGTGAGATGAGATCACTGTTAGATTGGCTGACCTTTTAGATCTTTCTCTCGCCTCTTGATGATTCAGTCAAGCAGATTGAAAACACGTTGATCTCCATTCTACCCGCTCCAAGGCTAAGCACTCAAAGGCTTTATGTGGTATATTGACAGCTGACAAGTTGCTTTTCAGCTTGTCTTTGTATCTTAGCCATGGGCGTCCTGCATTCCTGTAGCCCTGATCTAACTGGCTGTACATTAGGATCTTGGGTATCCTGTCATCAGACATTCTCAAGACATGACCAGTCCACCATAACTGAGACTGTATGATAAAAGTCTAGATTCCTCCAATATTGCACCTGTTAAACAGGTCTACGTTAGATATCCTATCTTGAAGCTTAACTCCACAGATTGCATGAGACAGCTTATATATATATATATATATATATATATATATATATAAGGTTAATGGTCAGAGGTGAATCAGACCAGGAAAACAGTAGTATTAAAAGTGCTCAATACGCATGCGAAAAAATAAAATAATAGTAAAAGTAGCATGTGCACTATTGAGAGATAAGTGTGAATTTGTAAACAATGACTAATACTATTAATATTACAAGGCTCTTCCTGAATTGAGCACTGTCAGCATGTTTATTCACAGAATAAGTATGTCAATGTTGCCAAATCAGTTGGGTTTTGATCATGGCAGCAATCAGATGTCTAGTGACACTGATGATCTCTGATACAGCGAAACAGTCTGTGAATAAACATTGTCAAAAGTGGAATCAGTGTGTGAAAGTCGATATCTACTTTAAAACGAAGCCTTCAGCACTGTAAAACAGTTTATGTAAGAGCAGGCTAATCTGGAAAAATACTGTTTGTTTTCAGTTTGCTAAATTTCTGTAGTAAGACATAGTGTCGAATAAGTGGACTCTGTGTGTGCAAGCCGATCTCTGCAATGAAACAGCCATTGTAATTGGAATAGAGTGTCTTTAGTCCTTTAAAAGAGTTCATGCAAGAGAAGGCTAATTTTTTTTAAAATTACTTTGGCAATCAGCGTGGCCCTCTCGGCTCATTGTCTTGTGTTGGTTTCCATCTTTTTTTTACTTGACAGGAAAACATTTTGACAGGAGAAAAAAATCTGATCTCTTGTTAAGCCTTCTAAACGTCTTATCTAATATCTCATTATTACTTCTTTTCTAAACACCCACAGCCACTTAAAATAAACAAAAAACCATTATAGCTGTTTACTGGTCCTCTTGCAAAAAATAGAAAAAAAAGAATTTATTTTTATTAAAACAGATTATAGATTATCATTCATTAGATCTTCGTCTACTCACATTTCACAGAATCAAGAAATAGTTTCCTTTTATCATTTTAGAAAGAGGCTCCTGTTTATAATATAAATACAGGGTGTCCATAAAATTCGTGTGCACTTTAAAAATATAACTTTATTCGTATTTGCAATAGAAATAATTTGCAAAAAGGATTAGAAAGAAGTAAATCTATATTTTTTTAAGGTTTTATTGAAATTTTATTTAAGTTTCCACATGTCCTCCATCATTAGCAATACAAAAGGTAATACGATTTTGCAGTTCACGGAAAATATTTGCCAACTGATTTAGAGTAATGCCTGAAATCACATTAGTTATTTTAGCAATATTAAAACTAGGTACATTAAACTTTATAACATTTTTTACAGATTATTTCTATCGCAAATACAAATAAAGTTATAACTTTTTTAAAGTGCACACGAACTTTATGGACACCTTGTATAGTAGGAAATTTAATCTGTGACTTCTTAAAGAGTTATATGCACTTTATTTTTGTTTATAAATATTAAGGTTTATGCCCCTATCACATTAAAACACTGGTTCCACCATGATCCCCAAAGTTAAGCAACGTCAAACCTGGTTGGTTTGCCACTTGGGAATACCAGGTGCTGTAAACTTGGATGTCTGGATAATGGTTTGGAATTGTTAATCAGAAAGCCAAGTTCCAATTCCAGTTGGCTTTTGGGAAAGGTATAAATCCACCTCTTCTCCTCCAGCTATGGATTAATTAGTAAGACTTGTATCACTAAATCATTATCTCAAAAAAAAATTCTTACAATCTAAAAACATTTTCTAGTTTTAAATAACCTGCAAAGGGTTGATAAACCATTCTAAACAAATCAATCAAAAAACTAATATAAATGTTAAGTTTTAAACTGCTTACATCCTTTATAACTCTGTAATACTATGGATTTAGAAAAGGCAACACAAAACAGATATGCTTGGGTGAGAGTCATCTCAATCTTTCCATGAACCATTGTGGGTATGATGATAAACTACATCTGTAAGACGATAAATTACATCAGACAGCAAGGCCTCTGATCAGGAAGTTTTTAGGAGCATGGAACCACCTCTTAATTGCTGGTGTTTCCAGGTCCACCCTGACCCGAGTTGGTAGCACCTGTTAGGGTCCCAGCTATGGTCAAATAGTTGACCCCACAACCTGCCACAAAACACTGTGAAAGTGTAAAAATAGATTTTAATACCAGAAATACTTTTTAAAAAAATTAGTATCAGCAATAAATATTTGAAAAAAGAAAATATTACCAGAAATAAAAATCTTGTCAGCATTAAATAACCCATTGAGGTTAATATGCCACAAAACAAAAGAAACCAAACCAGTATATACTGAGATAGATAGATGGATAAAAAATATTACCATCTATAAAAATCTTGTCAGCATTAAATAATCCATTGAGTTTAATATGCCATAAAACAAAACAAACTATACATTTTTTAAAACAAATATTACCAGGTATACATTTTTGGAAAAAAAAAGGCAATTTTGTTGGCATTAAATAACCTGTATTGATATGCCATAAAACAAACCAAACCACTTCATTGTATTTTTTTTTCTGATCTTGGCTTTTATGTAGGAGCCATACTGGATTGTTCAAAGAATCTCTAGGACATGGCAGATTACTTAGCAGTGCCTATTACCTCTCTAAATAACTATGAGGGAGGCAATTTTTCGTTACATGACAACAGTAGCAGAGAAAATTTCTTAGCTTGAGCTTATTGCACCATTCTCTGTCAGCCATTACAGTAAGTACTCAGATCTTTATTAGAATGACTGGTGATGAAATATAGCACACAGTGATATCAAATTGATGTATTAACCAGAGTCAGTAGGAAAAACTAGGCACGCAGAAGTTCAATATTATTATTTTTTTTATCTATTCATGAACTTCAATTTCTTCTTACTAAACACAGACAGGTTATTTTTATTATGTACTAGCAGTAGAGCCTGGCATTGCCTGGGGGTGTAAGAGTAAGAGATAGATCAAGTATCGACCATCATAAAGACTGAAAAATAAAATTGACAAAGATTATTGTTTAAGGTTGACGGACACGCATGTCTCAATTATATTTTTTTTTTTTTTTTTTTTTTACGAATTGGTCAAACCCAAACTCAAACATTGTTTACAATCGTTATGAGTCTACCAATTGAATAGAATTTTATTATAAATAATTGTCTTGTAAATGGAATTTTTAAAGCATTCTGAATGTAAAAATAAAGAAAAAAGTGTGCAAGACAATAAGAAACACTACCTGCCAAAAAAAAGTGAAGTTTTGTTGAAATCGGTTGAAAAATGTAGGAAATCCAATCCCATATATAAACGAACACACACACACACACACAAAAACAACCTGGGTTTTATAATAAGTATAACTCGATATGAGTTGTCCCCCTTTCCTTCTCGCAACAGTGATGCCTGTTAATCATGTTTTCAAATTGATTTTGTGCAAAAACAATTGTGTTTTTCTAATTTTTGGTGCTGTCAGAACCACCGCAAAGTAATTTTATGTAGTCCTGTGAAGTTTTGTTGAAATCGGTTGAAAAATGTAGGAAATCCGATCCAATATATATAAACGAACAGACACACACACACAACCTGGGTTTTATAATAAGTATGATTATTTATTCCTTCTCTGTTTCTATTTACATTTAAGTGCTAATGAAAAATCCTCTTTTTTTTTTTTTTTAACTATTTTAGTCAACCTTCTTGCCAATGTTCTGGATGAGCTAAAAACTGAACTCCAATATGACAGTGCCAAACAATTGTTTCTTTATTACCAAGCAACACCAATCATTCTGCAATATCTGAAACCAGTCCACAAGGTTTGTTCAGAACCTTTTAATTTTTACATATTTTCCTAATACTACTAATAATGATAATAAATACTCAGAGACTACAGCATGACTCTCATGGCTTCTGATCTTAATTGATTCACAATGTTAATATATACATGTTTCATCTTGGTGAGTTAAGATGGTCTATTCTGTTCAGTGTGAGCATGCCCCTAATGTGTTGATGCTTTGTACACCCTTGCATAAATTAATTGAAACGACTTCTTTAGTTTCCGTTCTTTCACTATATGGTCAGTTTTAAACCCACTGGAGTGACAGGGTCTAATTGATTTTTTTTTTTTTTTTTTTTTTTAGCAAATTAAGTCATTTGCAGTGATGTACAGTAATATGAATCTGTTTTCGGAGTGTATGATGAAATTTGTTTAACCTTGAAAAATATTGCATCATCCATGATTGCATCAGAGTTTTATCACACCCAGACACTATTGTCTCAACTGTCGATTAGTTGTCATACAGCCATTGTCTGTGATGGACATTACTCCAAGGAAGTGTATGAAAATTGTAACGCTGCATGAATATACTGGCAAGCCTTACTACTGAACAAATCAAAGTACTATAGACTGGCCTGGAAACTCTCCTGATTTAAATCCAATTGAGAATCTGTGTCCAATCTGCAAGGAATGACTTCATGGAATGAATATACGAAATACTAACATGTTCATCTTTCATTGGAAAAATATGAAAAATGATTAAATAATAACAGAATTATTTGTTTTCTTTGAATTAATTTGCACAAGGGTGTATATTTCTGATCATGACTGGGACTAGTGAAGTAGCATCATACTGATTATTTTGATCCTTATATAATTGTACTTCAGTATTATTTTATGGGCACACTTCTCTTTGATCAATGTAATTATCCAACATAATTAATTTCAGTTGTAATTATTTCCACTAATAATATTATTAATAATAATATCTTGAATTTTGTTTTAATTAGCTGAAGCATTGTCAAGCATTATTCATTTTTTACTAGGATTTCTTTCATTTTCGTTTGCATTGCTTTATTTCCACTAGTAGCATTAGTAGTAATATTATATAGAATTTTTATGAATTGAATCATTGTCAACCATTTATTTTTGACTAGGATTTCTTTCATTTTAATTTAAATTGCTTTATTTGCACCATTAGTAGCAGTAGTAATATTATCTTGAATTAGATGAAACATTATCAAACATTATTCAATTTCATTAGAATTTCTTTCATTTTAATTTTGAGTTGGTTTTTCCATCCTGGGTATGACGATAAACTACATCTGCGTCCTTGGTAAGACTGCAAACTACATCCAGCAGCAAGGCCTCTGATCAGGAGGTTTTGAGGAGCATAGAACCACCTCTTACTTGCTGGTGTTACCAGGTCCACCCTGCCCCGGGTGATAGCACCTGTTAGGGTCCCAACTATGAGCAAATAGTTAACCCCCAAACTGGGGTCAAAACACTATGAAAGTGTAAAAATAGGTTTTAATACCAGAAATACTTATTACCAGCAATAATTTTTTGAAGAAAAAAATTATTACCAGCAATACATTTTTGAAAAAAAAATTACAAGCGATACATTTTTGAAGAAAAAATATTACCAGAAATAGATTTTTGAAGAAAAAAAAAAATTACCAGCAATACATTTGAAAAAAAGAATATTACCAGTAATAAAAAAATTTGTCGGCATTAAATAACCCATTGTGGTTGGTATGCCGTAAAACAAACAAATCAGTTGCTTTTTATTACAAATCACATTTCATCATTTTCCAATCATGAGCAAGCTGCATTGGCTGCAAATTAAAAAAAAAAATCTCACAATTCTTTCTTCACAATTTATGCTGCTTACATAATAACAGTAGAATACTAATCTTGGTGTTACAATAAAAATCAACAGAAATTTTTGCCTGAATTTCTGAGCTGTGGCAATATCATTATTTGAATTATTTACATTCTGCCTATTGTCCTCTTTTTTGTTGTCATGTTTCAACCTTTGTGATAACAATGAAGATGAGGGCAATAATGTTGAATTATGCAAATAAAACAAAAGAAATTATGAAGAAAAGGAAATGCTAGTGCAATATCAATTATTAACAATGCTTTATTAAATAGAAAAAGTAATATTAAATTTTATTTAATCACCATTCATTATATGAAAGTCATTATCTATTGATTCAAACAATAATTTGAAGAGAAATACTGACTTACAAAGATGCTTTCAATGACCAAACAAACATCCAGAATGCTCATCCTGAGAAGATTAAAGCGTTTTGAGACTTTAGTGCCTATCTTAAAATAAGGCTCCTGCAATTCTTAATTTCTGATACACGTAGCTTCCTAAGAACTATAGATCTTACATTCTTGACAAAATCCAAAGAAGGAACTGTAATGTTATCATTCCTGACCTAACATCTCAACTTCAGTCACATTCCTACCACTATGTGCCTTTTTTATTTGTCTATATCCCTGAAATGAGGTATTATGATTACTTGCATTATTTACTTTATTCGGACAGTTATCCTCAACTTCATTGTCATATTCATAATGTTTCGGCCATTGTATGCTCCGGCTTACTTCAGGTGATTGGAATTTCAAACTGAACCCTTTATTTTGTCCACTGGAGGAGATTGTTCTAGTTCCACTTGCCATGACTCATCTGGATGTCTCAGTTATTTCCCTTTAATGTAACTGCACTGCTGTGGCCTGGTATTGAACTCACAACACTTTGGGTCTAGTTACTATCCCTGAGGACATATGTGTATGAATTTTTGTGACTTATAAGCCTAATGTCTCAGCAATCATTCTTTTTTTTTACCAGTGCTCATATTCAATTTTTTTGTTTTTTTTTGTTATTGCATTTTTTTTTTGTTTTTGTTACCAGACCTTATATTGCAATTTTTTTTTTGTTATTCATTGCTTTCTCTCTAGCATTCTTTATTACTGGTTCCAATATTGTATTCATTTCTATGCTTGGTTGACTCAGGAGATTTTTGTGTCCTAGCATATATGCTGATTCCCTAAGTTTTCGTATTTTCCAGTGATGCTCTCTGTCTATTATTTCAACCTCTTTTTTATAAATACGTTTGTGCTAATTTTTCTGATGAGTTTTCCTCCTTGTACTTTTTAAGCACAGTACTAGATTGGCAATCATGTCTTATCATTTTACAGTTGAAATAGCTCGACATAAGTTTAAGTTCTATGCTAATAGTTTCTTCTCTTGCACTTCTCGCCTGTGGAAGCCTCTTCTGACATCTTGCTTTCTTGTTACCTATGATCTTCAAAAATTACAAAATCAGTTGCCATTTTCTTTATTTCTGAATCCTGTTCTTTTATTGTCCTTTCTTTCCACTAATGTTTTCTCATTTTCTTTTATTCTCAGTAACATCTTAGTCGATATATCAACCTGTTTTAGGTGGATTCCAAACTGTGAAGAAGGCAACAGGAAGTCCAAGAAGGCATGGCAGTTCACAAATAATAAAGAAACAGTGGAGAGCCATAATCTCATATGGTTTGAAGCTCTGCATTAAATATTATTATAGACTTGACTCTTTTGCTACTCTGAATTCAAACCAAAACTGCTCTTCTATCCTTCCCAAAAAGTCATGAAAATTCACAGATGATAAAGACACTGTGGAGTGACAAATGTCCTATGGTCTGAAGCTCTGTGTAAAATATTTGTTCAGCTCTCCAGCTTTGGCTGCTCTGAATTAAATCCTGGTGAAACCAAAGTGAAACCACTCTTCAAGGTCTCATAGCAATTCACAGAAAAGCAAGCTGTAGATAACCTTGATTGCGAACACCATGAAGGCTTTTTTTCTTTTATGTGCCATGTCCCTTCAGGACATAGGCCCTCCACATCTTCCTGTTTTGTCTTTTTGTTATTTCTCCCAAACCCTATTCTACCATCCATTTACTGAAGCTCATCAAGTATGTTATGTGCTGCTTTCCTCTGTCCGTCTTTCCCTCAATCTGTCATGTGAGTCGTCTTCTTTTATTTGCTATGTAACTTCAGGTCGTAAGCGATCATGGCCCTCCACATCTTCCTGCTTCTTGTAACTCTTAATAAGTTTTATCTCTTTATTATTTCTCACAAACCCTATTCTACCATCCATTTACTCATCAAGTATGTTATGTGCTGCTTTCCTCTGTCCCTCTTTCCTTCAATCTCTCATGTAAGTCGTCTTCTTTTATGTGCTATGTACCTTCAGGTCGAAGGTGATCATGGCCCTCCACATCTTCCTGTCCATTGTAACTCTTAGTAAGTTTTGTATTTTTGTTATTTCTCCCAAACCCTGTTCTTCCATCCATTTACTCAAGCTCATCAATTATGTTACGTGCTGCTTTCCTCTGTCCCTCTTTCTCTCAAACTGTCATGTGAGAATCAGATTTTCTAATCCCTCCTTCCTCATTACATGCCCTAGTAACCTCAACTGCCCCTTCCTGATGTTAAGCATAAGTTTCCTTTTTGTTTCAATGCTTCCCAAAACCTTGTCATTGCTTGCATGTTCATCCCATGGTATCCTCAGCATCTTTCTGTAGAACCACATTTCTGTTGATTCAAGTCTCTTTTTCATCTTTGTCTAGCATTCTCTACCATACAGGAGGTCAGATATCACGTAACAGTTCACTACCGTTTTCTTTGTTTCTAACAAAATTTTTCTGTCTCTTCATACTCTGCTTAGCTTTTGGAAGGCATCTTTGGCCATCCCAATACATCTTTGGATCTCAGGGTTGCACTTTCTATCCTTTGTTAGAACCAGAGTTCCAGATATTTAAATTACTGTAGTTATTAAATTTTAGCATCCCCGATCTGTAATTTGCATTTTGGGCTTATCCTTTTGCTGATAACCATACATTCTGTCTTCTTGTAGTCCTTTCTTCTTGCTTTTCTTCACTACTTTCTGTAGGAGGTTTTGTAATTTCCTTTCCATGTCTGCTATCAACACTGTGCCATCTGGATATTTTATATCATTAAGATTCTGGCCGCCAATAATAAATCCTGGTAAGACTTCTAATTCTCTCAGAATTGCCTCACATTATAGGTTGAATAAATCCAAAAAGAAGACACATCTTTCCCTTACACCATTTGTATATCTGCTGAACTCATTTTCTATCTCTATGCAAGCAGTTTGCTGCCAGTATAGGTTCATGATTATTCTTATGTCTTTAAAAAAGAAGTATTTTGTTCATTTACTTTTACCGTTTTTGATATTGTTATCTTATTTTTAATTGCCTTTCTGTTTTCATCTTTACATTCCCAAATCCTGTTCAATGGATTCCTTAATAATTCTGTCTGGTTTTCATCTCTCTCGGAGAGATGCGTGTTCTTTCTCAGTTCTTAGTTACCGTTGCTGAAAGCATAAACAAATCACAGATATTGATCGATGCTTTGACCAGAGATCGCATTTTGCTTGACCACACAAAGACATAAAAGCAATCAGACATTTGATTCCAGTGTTTCATTTGCTTTATTTCCATTTTAAAGTTTCAACCTCTTTAAGACATTCTGTCCAGAAAGGAAGAAAAAAAACACAAAAAAAATCGGTAATCAGGATCACAGATCATTACTGGTTTAAGAAATGAAATTGTCTATTGATAATAATCGTAAATCTTCATATATTACATGATATGGTTTGTAAAATTAAATAAAAAAAGGCTTTTATATCAAGAGCATGTTATATCAGGTTTAGATTTGTATGACTAATACTAAAATGCTGAATCGTTTAGAATTAAACTTATGACATCTAACATTATCTGTCTATATTTTTGAGATGAGGTATTATGTACATTATTTATATTATTTGGACTATTGTCCTCACCTTTGTTGCTATATTTTTCACAATGTTTCGGCCTTTCAATATCTGTCTATATTTCTGAGATGAGGTATTATGTACACTATTTACATTATTCAGACTATTGTCCTCATCTTTGTTGCCATATTTATCACAACATTTTCGGCCGTTGTACACTTCAGCTTTCTTCAGGTGGTTGGAATGTTGAACTGAACCCTTTATTTTGCTTGCTGGGGTAAACTGTTCTAGTTCCACGTGCCATGTCTAATGGATGTCAGTTATCAGTTATCTCCTGTTAATTCCCCTCTCCAAGTTCTCCGACACCTTAACCAGTTATTGAACTCACACTCTTTGGCACAGTGGATAAAGGTGTTAGATCCATTGACAGGACCCAAAGAGTGTGAGTTCAATAACTGGTTAAGGTGTTGGAGAACTTGGAGAGGGGAATTAACAGAAGATAACTGATAACTGACATCCATTAGACATGGCACGTAGAACTAGAACAGTCTACTCCAGCAAGCGAAATAAAGGGTTCAGTTCGACATTCCAAACACCTGAAGAAAGCCGGAGTGTACAATGGCCAAAATGTGATAAACATAGCAACAAAGATGAGGACAATAGTCTGAATAATGTAAATAGTAAATATTTAACATTGCTAAGTCTGGTTGGTTCATATGCTAGACATTTTTTCTCTCCAGAATCTATGTATATATGTCTTCCATTCATCCATGCTTAGCACATTGCTGCTACGTATGGTTTGGTGTTCCCACTATATATTTAGAGATTCTTGATAAAATCCAAAGGAGAATCTGCAATGTTATTTGTCCTGACATGGCATCTTGGCTTCAGTCACCTTCCACCTTCCCACCAATGTAATGTAACTTTCCTCTGCCTTTTCTATAAATACTATCATGGAAAATGCTTTGATGGACTCTCCTCTATAGCACCTAGACATTATGAATTTAAAGCACATTACCAGATTAGTGACAAGATCTCATTTTACAGTCGAAATGGCTAGATGTAACCATATGTTTTATGTTAACATCTTTTCTCACACTTCTTCCCCATGGAACTCTTTTGAGTTCTGGCTTTCCAGTCAAGTTTGATCTTCAAATATTTAAATGTTTTTCTTATATTCTTTCAAATTCAGTCACCCCCTCATGTGTTAGTTGCCCTGCTTGAGGTAAAATGATTAAAAAATTCTTGGTGACTGTGTGAAACTGATCCAAGTAATCTCTTTCAAACTGACAGTCTCTCCGTACAAGCAGCGCCACATTCAAAAAAATGAACTGTTTATATCCTCTCACGTCATGATTTTTATGCCCAGCTGATTTCATTAAAATAATTTGCATATGTTCACCCAGTCTCGCGAATTCTCCATGTCTTTCTTAAATTAAGCTGTGAGAGCAGCCATATTTCTTTTTCTTTTCCTTTCCTTCACTCGTTTTGCACAACAGTCATATATGTGCTCATTTTGCAACATGAGATAAGTCATCTTCTCTTCTACAGTAACCTCTATCAGAATGGCGGATGTTAAGCTTCAGGTGAGAAAAAATGCTGCACCTTTTCAGCTGAACTCTAATATTTCCCTCTGACTTGAATCAGTTATATTGAATCTATTTTCTATGTCTGCTGCAAAGAAAATTAGTTACCTGTATTGTGCTAAACAATTTTTTATTTAGCATTAAGCATATGCAATAAAAGGTCATAGGTCAAAGGTCTCGTTCTGGGTTCGCATATCCTTATCATTTTTTAAAATATTTTTTTCTAGGCTCTGGTTAGCAATTCTATCAATGTCTTTCTGCCGCTGAGCATGGAATCTCCATATCTCCAGCCATTTCTGGTCAGCTGTAGTAACGAGGCCTGGTTCCGCACTGTTGCACTTGTCTTGCGTACCACCAGCTTGGACAACAAAGTCTTCGAGAAACTCAGCATTATTCTTCAAAAGTTATCTAAGATCAAGTAAGTATGACTTTTCCGAATATTACTTCCCAGATGGATTTGAACGATGCTCAATTGAAGGTGAAATGTAACTGATCCTACTACTCTATTGCAAACAAGACTGTTCTTGTCATCAACAGATTTAAAAGTAGAAACAGCAATGAAAAATGATGAATAAGCTATTTTCAGGATGTGTGTATTTATGGTTCTCCACAACTTCCAGTCTTCTGTTGCTCTCAGCAATACTTTCTTATTTATTAGCCAACACGGCATATTGTTCCAAAACCAAAACATTATCCTAAAAATTCATCTTGTGTTCTTAAATAGTCACCTAAGATTGAAACTTTCATATAAATGTCATGCATGTTGCCCAACTCATTTAGAAATATAGAATATCTAAACTGTCAACTATATACTTTCTCTTGAAAATGGCTTAGAGTGAATAAAGCCAGAGTTTCTCAGGGAAGACGGTTCTTCTTTGAACCTTGTGAACTGGTGCTACAGAATCATAAAGAACTGCACCAAATAACAGAAATGATCATCACATAATGACTTTCAACAGCAGCAACAAGTAAGATGGATAGAACTTGTAACTCGACAAGGAAAATAATGACATAATATGTTGACATTCTACACTTCAAACAAAAGTTTAGGAAGAAAATCCCATTGATACTGGAAAGAGCAATAACCTACTTGCCTGAAAAATTGTTTTAAGAAAAAGACTGTAAATTTCAACCACAAGTAGCACTTGCTGCTCAGTCAGAGACTACTGAATGTTTCCTCATAAGGAAACAGTTAATATTACTATTAGTGATGTAGTGAACAGATACTACACTTTGATCACAGTTCAATGGCCAGATAGTGAAGAAAAGTGTTATTATGTCTGCTCAGTCAATGAATGTTAAATGTTTCTTTATAAAGAAATGGCTGATATTATTACCATTAGAGATGAGAACAAATACTATACTTTGATCCTAGCCTGATGACCAGGGAGTGAAGAAAATCTTAACTAGAGTAGAAGTGGCTGCTCAGTTAATGAATGCGGAATGTTTCCTTAGAAGGAAATGGCTAATATTACATCATCATTCTCCTTGTGTTACCTATTTATCCATCCATTTGTCTACTTGTCAAATAGGTTTTCCTTTTCTTTTCTCTGCTTTTCCTGCCTTCATTGAGCCCTTTGAGTTTCAAATTCTCCAATCTTTCTTTCCTCATTATGTTGTCTCCAAAATGAATCCATCTGCAGCTTTGTGTCATATTTTCAGCCATCTGCTTGATTCTGATGCATCCATTTCACAGCTTGTGCCATTAGCTGTCAATCTTTCTGGTGACGATATATTCTGAATTCTTACAGTTAATAGTTTGTCTTTTCTTTTCACTTTGCTACATGGCCTTCAATCTTTTGCAGTTTTTTTCTCAATCTGTCATCAACACCGTGTCATCTGTGTTAGGTTGCTGGAAGGATAAGCAGTGTTTATGAGTGACAGTACGAGATCTAAGCAAAACAATTTTCATTTTCAAACATTAACCATCAAGAAATTCAACTAATAGTTAAGAGTTTGTAGCTGAATTAGACAGGAAATAGAAAAATAATGCTAAAAGAACTGGAACAAGAAATGCAATTTTTATGTGAGAGTGAACGAGAGAAATGCAGAAGGACCTATACTTTTTATAAATAAAACAAAGGCATTTGGTATCATTCAACACAAAGAACTTTGTGAAATATTTGGATTGATTGATTTGTTTTTACAGCTTATCAACCCTTTGTGATTTGTTTAAAACCAAAACCTATCTTAGATTGTAAGAATATTTTTGTTAATGAGTGAATATTGAATTAACAATATATTTGAACATAGAAAGGATTTTTTCAGACACAAGTTCTACTGTTTAAGCTACAACTTGCGGGAGGAGATTGATTCATACTTTTCCCGAGCATATCTGAAAAACTAGGAAAAGCTCCACTGCATGTTCACAAGGTAATGAAAGATGAAAACAAATTTCATAGTAAGGAATGAGAACTCAAACACTGTTTTTAACATATTTAGATGTTTTATTCAGGGTTATGCTTGCTCCATCTCGGGTGGCAATAACACATGAGACAACTTCTTCTAGATCAGCTCTTACCTCCTACGAACACTCTGCCCATCTACACATCATGTTATGTGGCTGACAGTACAAACAGATGGTATCAGAATTACCCAAGGGGCAGTCCGTGCACCACCAAGGGCAGACCAGAAATAACTTCCTTGATCCCAACTGTGGCTGCTAATTTAAGCCAGTATGGAAATCATCAATATCCGGTCTTGTGGTCACTTGACCCCAAAAGCTTTAACATTTTTTTCTTTTTTGCCCTTTGGTCAAGTAATTTGGCACCTTTAGATTATCATCTGTTTGAGCTCTTCACAACCATTTATCCAGGTTGTAGCTGTTCCACACAGGTGATGCTATTGTTGAAAGGCTGTACAAGTGTGACTTGATTTGCTTGAAACCAAATTTATCAAGAAGGGTATTTAGGTAGTGTTGATTTCTATGTCTATATTTAGCAGCATCAATAAATCTGTAAACTAAGTATGGAAAAAGCATTCATTTTATGCAGAGAACATTTTTCAGTAAAACCTCTTCGCTTCTCACTGCACTTAATTTGGACTTTTTCCATTGAAAAATGCTCTGATGCACTATAGTTGCAAGGTCTATTAGTTCAGTCTTTTACAGCTAAGACCTATCATGTCACATACATTATCAAACCATCCTCATTCCCTTTGTATTCCATTGGTAAGAAATAAGTTATTCTTGTTTAGATAGCATTTTCCCAAGAAGTGATGCATTGTGGAACAGGCTCCCAAGAGGATACTTTCCTCATCACTACAATCTTAACCAGAGTTTAGAGTAAACCATTATGTAATCTTATGGCCACATTACATTGATACAGCAGTTCCGTACAATGACCCAAGTAAAGCAACATCAAGTCAGGTTAGTACCTAAATGGGTGACGTCTTAGGAATACCAGGGTTTTAAACTTAGATGTTCTGGTGATGTAATGAATAATGGCTTGTAATTGTTAAATGGAGAGCCAAGTCCCAATTCCAGTAAGGTTTGTTATATTCACTTACGTGCATATACCCTTGGGAAAGATATGAATCCACCTCTTCTGCTCCCAACTACGGGTTAATTAGACTTGTATCACTAAATCATTATCATCTCAAAAATTTTTTCTTACAATCTAAAAATATTTCTGGCTTTAAATAACCTGCAAAGGGTTGATAAGCCATAAAAAACAAATCAATCAACCATTATCTATGATTTATATTTATGATTTCCTTTGGGCATCTCATACTCTCGCCTGTAAAGAGTTGCTTGGCAAATTCCATATTGAAAGATGTCAGTGTCATAACAAACTGAATCTTGTCTATTGCACAGACAACACCCGGTTCTTGATAATAACTGAGATGTCATAGGTAGTTGAACAAAACAGGACATGCATGAAGTTTGAAAAGATTATCAGTAATGTTGACTGAATTATTGCCCGGTTCACGCTCCTTCCCCATCTTTTGAGTAGAAGTGGAGGTTTATCCCTTATTTCTGTTTAGGATTGGGTTTCCAGTTCCTTCTCCTAAAGGCTTTTCATTTTCTTTCAACCCCTTTAGTGGCGCAGTGAAAGTCTGCCGGGCTCATAACCCGGATGTTCGTAAATTGAAACTACACACTGGTAGCAGTGTGAAATAGTTTGTCAGGGATTCACCAGGCAAATGAATGTACATTATTTATCTTGTAAAAATGCAAAAATGTGGCACAAGGCCAAAAGGAGTGATGGGGGAAGGCTGGTATTATTCCGACTTATAATTAAACCTAGCTAGCCACAATTACTGATCCAAACATACCACAGTCTTCCTTACACAAAAACAACACATTCTTACTACATTCACCACTATACCTGAAAGTCTCTATGAAATCCTAACTCATTCCCATATGTACAATTTATCTGGGAATGGAGGGATAAAAATAACAACATTGTAAATATTCATTGGGGGTTTCATTGGAGATCCTACGAGGATCCATCATTGGCAGCCACAATCTTACCAACATAAGATGCACAGATGACACAGTACTGATTGCAAACACGGAGAAAGAAACTACAAAACCTCATACAGAAGATAGCGAGGGAGATCAAGAAAGGATTAACGATAAACTACAAGAAGACAGAATGCATGGTCATCAGTAAAAGGAGGAGCCTAAAATGTGATTTACAGGTCAGGGACACTAAAATCATGCATATGCTGAAGTTTAGATATCAAGGAAGTGTTTTGACGGAGGACAGTAGGTGCAACACTGCGATTTGAAGACGGGTTAGGATCACTAAGGATGCATTTCAAAAGCTGGGCAGAGTACTGCGAGACAGGAGGATTTCTTTGGTGACAAAGTAAAAAGTACTGAGCGACTACATGACATCTGTCCTCCTATACGGCAGAGAATGTTTGACAGTATCCTCAAAGATGAAGAAGAGACTCAAGGCAGCGGAGATGTTGTTCTACAGAAGGATGCTAAGGATATCATGGAGTGAATGTGTGAGCAACAATGAGGTCTTGGAGAGGATGCAACAATGAGGAAGCTAATATTTAACATAAGGAAGAAGCAGATGAAATTTCTGGGATACGTAATGAGAAAAGAGGGCCTGGAGAATCTGATACTCACAGGTCGAATAGAGGGAAAAAGAGACAAGGGAAAGCAACACATGACATACCTGGTTAAGTGGAGTTGGCAGAGGCACAAAACATTGAGATCTACAAGGGATTGGTAGAAGTGGAGAGCCATGACCGCCTACATCCTGAAAGGACACAGCATATAAAAAGAAAGAAAAGTAAATGAATGTACCCTCTCTAGAAGAAATACAATGGGCTTATATTGAGCTCCATGGTAGAACCCAGTACAAAGAACAGGCCAATCCAACAAAAATAACAACAAAAATGCCTTAGTTTCTATTAGCTGGTGGTTGTGAGTTCAATTCCTGTGTCGGGCAATGCATA